ACTGGTTCTTGCCAGAGTGGTGCACCAGGGTGCATCCCCTTCCTTTCACCTCTGCACCTGAGAGTTTCTAAAGTGATTCATGGCTTTAGGATGCTTCCATTTTTGGGTGTCTAACTAGAGGCCCCTTTAAAAGAGATGGGCTTCAGAACACAAGCATTTTGGGCTTACACAGGTTAGCCCCGTAAAGGGGGCTGAGGTTCAGAACTGGAAAATTTGAGGTGCCTAAAATCCCTCGTCACCTCTGGAAACACCTTGTCTACATGTTCCTGGCCCACTTGAAAAGCCGTGGCTGAGCTCCTGTTGCCTTCAGACGGTGCAGCAGCAATCGGTATCCAACTGGAAGGAAAGGCAAGCTTTGGTTATATAGCTTTGTCCTGAAACTTGCAGGCTGAATCCAGTTTGGGTGTTTAAAGAAATCTAATCAGTGCCATAGGGCTGAACTAGATGCTGCTGGGTAGGTGGGTGTGAGGAGTTTTATCACAGGTTGGCAAAATGAAGCCCATGGACCAGATCCCACCTGTCTAACGTTTCTATCTGGCCTGTCAGCCAGGAACTGTTAAGCACTTCCTTGCCGGAGCTTGCACCTCGCACACCCTCCTGCACTAGGTTAGAACTTCCCCATTCCTAGCTGGACTGCCTACCTCCTCCATTGCTAGAGTAGAAATGTGTAGCCCCTGACAACTTTCCCAAATGCATGGAAATGATTGCCTATCCTGGGTTCTACGAGGCAAAGAGGCTCATGTTGTGCTCTATAATAAAGCTTGGTGCCTTTATTGCAAAAATTAGGCTCAGAACAAGCATAGCCAAGAGCTGTTTTCTGTAATAAACTAATAGAAAGCCCCCATCCGTTCAAATGTGTGTAAGTAAAAAAAACCAACAAATTAGCCATGGTTGTGAATCCGGCCAGACTCTCCATTGTTGGTACGGCTGAGGGAGAATAAAGCCCACTTGTCCATTTCATGTCACGCTCCCTTACAAACCCTTCATTAAAACAAGTCGGCAAGTCTCCCGTCTGGCTGTCTGACCCTTTCTCCAGCTACACACAATAAGGAGCTTTGAGCGGGGTGCCCGTTGCTTAGGGAAGCAGGAGGCGGGCGAGGGATACACCGGGTATCCTGCTATTCCCCCTCACCCAACATTTGTTATCTTCAATAGGATGTACTGATTTGGCTTTGACCAAAGTCTCCTGTTGGGAGAAACTGGTTGTTTTTTATTATGATCAAACACGCAAAGCTTTTCTTGGGGGAGGGGGAAGCAGGCTTTTTGCATGGGGCAAACTGCTGAAACCTCTAATATTAGATAAATAAATAAAATGTTTTGTTTTTAAATTCACTTTTTGATCCATTCCCTACATTTTTCCTACTGTAAAAACAGAGACTGTAGGAATCCCTAAAAACTGAAGTTAAGAAACTTGAATCAAAATGCATACTGCTAGAAC